GAGTGAACTTCCAAAGGGCACAGCTCACCTCAGTCGAGCTGCCACAGCTGGAACATCGGTCTCAGTATTACCTAAAAAAAACTGTGGTTCATGTTGTCACTGCTGCTGTTGGCCATGTAAAGTATGTTAGTCAAATATATTAGACATAGAGTGTTATAGGCCTACGTTCAGTTTGGGAACTTAAACAAGGCGTTTTTTTTTTAAGACAGAGGGATAAATAGACTATCAGCATCATTGCCTTCACCTTTCAAATGCAGCATATACTGTAGAGAGGACAACACCTCTCATCTATTATCATGCTGAGCAGCAAGGATCCACCCAGTCTGATAACTATACACACTTCACGCCAGCCTTCTGGATGCTCCACACGTGAAGATAAGAGCAACCGTCACAGGCAACACACATCGGCTTACGCACACGTGTGCATAACTATTTAGACAAGTGGTTCCCAAAAGTGGGGACCGTGACCCCCTGGGGCGTCGCAAGACAGTGAGAAGGAGGTCGAGAGAATTCTTCCAAAAACACATTAAATGAAAAAGGACTTAAAATGTGCATATTTGAAACATTATTGTAAAAAATATATATACAAAGACACTAGCTCAAGAAATGACTTAGGTTGTATGTCGAGCATTTGTTTTATAATAAATTACTAAAATAATATCACAATGATCAGGCTGGTGTGTTCATGTGTGTTGTTCTGATGCCAGTGTTTAGGCCAATAAGTGTGCCCTACTGTGAGAAAATGTTTTAACCACCTCCATGGACAGTGTGGGTCCCCAGTCTCTTAGCACCTTATTTCTGGGGGTCACTGGCCAAAAGGTTTGGGAACCCTTGATTTAGACTACTGAGGACATGATGCCTGTTGAGGAAATTACTAAGACTTGACTCCACACAATACGACTCAAGATGGCTTATGAAAGTTTATACTTAAGAAGAATACTCATGAGGAGACATGACATACCAGGGTCGTGTCACATTGACCCACCTAGACTAATCTGTGACGTCAATAACACTGGAGCAGACAACAAGTCTACCATACATCCTTGCAGATATCAGGAAAAACAGTTGAAACTCTCTAAGCTGTACTTGGTGTATTAATAACAACTGAACTCTGTCAGGTCTGACTGACACTAAAAAACAGTGAATAAACATAATGACATCTGTACATTATAATCTAAATAACTACAGAAATTCCACCACAATGCCCACTGTTGAATGTTTACATCTGCTTCTTGCAAGTAGCCTATTCAGAAACATAGATTGATATATGTCATTTTTTAATTGTACTCTGGTAATTAACAATTGGACATTTATGTAATTATTGATTTATAAAGGGAAAGTATCCTACATATTTACTGATCAGATCACCTTCAGAGCTGAACTATGGAGCTGAATCAGTCTTCAGCCAGAGAAGTGTGTTTCATTGTGTCTGACCAGGAAGAGAGCCCTGTGGGTTGGATAACGACGCGGTCTCTTAGTGTGAACATGAGCTCGTCGGCGCTGTTACACTGAAGTTATGACTTAAAAATGGCAGATTCGGGTCCGTTTTTAACGTCATGTATTATTTTCTACCTGTCGATCGGTGCCGCAATATTTCAGATTCTCGAGGAGCCCAACTGGAAATCAGCCAAGGACAAATACATCTTAGCAAAGGAGAACATTTTGAAGAACTATGCCTGCTTAACCAAAGAAAGTCTGGATGAGATTTTAGAGGTATGCAGCATGTAGGCTTTATCATATTTAACTGTTTTCATTGGTCTGACAAAAAAAACAAAACATGGTGGTTAATGATTCATTGACAACATAAATAATTCTTTCATTAGGCTACCTTGAAGAGAGTAGGCTTCATTTGATGAACAAATAACTATCATCAATTCTCATCAAGTTCTAAAACGCCATAAAGAAAAAGTGTCCCTAGGCTTACATAGACAGCGTTTTATAGACTTGTAATTTAACTAGCGATAACTTGTTATCAAAGAGTCAAAGTAAAGTTATCAGTAGGCTAAATCATGACACCACTGAACCTGTTTTTCTGCTTTACCCTACAGTAAGCAGTAATCTGTCTAGAAGCGGACCATTACAATAAAACGCCTCAAATTTGACTCAAAATGTTCATACAGCAAAGTTGTTAGCAATTCTGATTGAAAAACATGGTGTTTGTTTCAAGCGTGACGGAACATGTCTCCCTGAACCACAGATGTTTTACTGTTGGCGTAAAGGTGTGTCGCTGTAATGGCAGCGTTTCCTGTATTTTAGTTGAGTCATTATAAACGCCTTCTTTACCTGTTTGAGTAGAGAGAATTGTTCCTGTGTTTACACTCACAGATCGTGTCTGAGGCAGCAGGACAAGGTGTAACCATCACAGGGGAAATTCATCGGAACTCGTGGGACTGGGCCAACTCTGTCATCTTTGCTTCCACCATCGTCACTACTATAGGTTTGTGCTGAAGATCTTGCCTATTTACTTTTTTAATTTGTCAGAGTAAGCCTCTACATGGACTTTGCATACATGAAGAACAATAACGACAGAAAAAAGATGAGTGATTTATTGAAGATTGATTAAAAGTAAAAAAAAAGAAAAAAACAACAACAACAAACAAACACTTTTCTAGGTCTGGAAATCATCTTGAAGAGCTATTAAAAAATAAGAGAAAGAGAAAGTGTTGAGCTTGATCTCCAACATCAACAATTGTAGCTTTATTTTTATTTTTTTCTCATTATTAGTATTATTTTTTCTTCTGTAAATCTTAATTTAATTATTTTTTCTCTCTTCGTACCTTTTCTTTGGATTTTTATCTATTTTTATTTTATTTCATGTATGTTTAAAATATATATATATATATATAAAAATGTGCCAGGATGAACAGAATTTGTGATGAAATATGAGAACTTGTAATGAAGTAAAACAGCCTGCAATAAAGTATTTAAAAAAAACAAAAAAAAAAACAATTGTAGCTTACAATAATAAAACATTGAATTTCAAGATTCATTTTAAAGTTCTTCTTGCCAAATTGTCATTGACTTTCAAGAATAAAGCATCTAGCCTACTTTGGAAGGTGATCGCATAACGTTTTGCCAAAAATGCTTAAAAATCAAACAATTATGAGATAATCATCATTAACAAAGTCAAAAGAGTATTTGTAAAAAAAACTTTGATAATGTAAACCAATACCTGTCATAGTGGTTCAATAACATTTCCATCTCATCTGCAGGTTTTGGTAATGTTGCTCCAAAGACTCAAGGTGGCCGTGTGTTCTGCATCCTGTACGGCCTGTGTGGGATCCCACTGTGTCTGGTTTGGATCAGTCAGCTGGGTTCGTTCTTTGGAGACCGGGCCAAGCGTCTGTCTGGAGTTCTGATCCGTAAAGGGATCTCGGTGGTAAGAAGAAACTCACTGAAAGCAGTGGTATTTTTCTGAATACTGTTTCGAATGAGTAAACTCCAAGTTCTAATGTTTTATTTCCCCCTTATGCCAGAAAAAGGTCCAGTATACCTGTACAGCCTTGTTCCTGTTATGGGGGCTGTTTGTGCACCTGCTGATTCCTCCATTTGTTTTCATGTCTATGGAAAAATGGAGCTACCTGGAAGGGATCTACTACTCTTTCATCACACTGACAACAGTTGGTTTTGGAGATTATGTAGCAGGTAGGTTTGATCTCCTCTTAATTTGTTTATTGTTACTTAAAGGTTAAAAGTGGTTTTGGACTTTCTGTTTTGTTGTGTCCTCTTCATATGTTGGTGCACGGACTCTCCTTTCAGGTGTAAATCCAAACATCGACTACCCCAGACTGTACAGAGTATTGTCAGAGTTATGGATCTACATGGGCCTGGCCTGGCTGTCTCTCTTCTTCAGTTGGAACGTCAACATGGTCGTGGAGGCTCACAAGGTGCTAAAGAAAAAAAGGAAACTCCGCCACAGACACTTATACGATGAGGATCCCCTTCTGTTGCGGAAAATTCCAAGTCGAATGTAAAACCGACAACTATCGACATCTTCAACTTCCCAAAGGATGATGACTACAGCACAATTATCAAGAAGATCGGAGACAGAACCAACACAATAAGTCCTCTAGAGAACATTAATCGCTCTAGGAGCTGCAGCGACATCAAAGCCCTCAACATCCAGACCCTGGATCACTCGCCTCGGCACACACGGTTGATCAGTATCAGTGACGTGTTTCTGAATGCAAAGGCTAACGAGGACAAGGATAAACAAAATGAGGTGTGTACTATACTAGAAGAAAGCAACATAGACCCTGATCCTGCAGCAGACATGAGGAAGGATAAGGATGAGAACAAGGACAGTTGTGCATTTGATTCAGAAATTATAATCTTAACTGTACCTACTGTACCGGACCATTCTGCAGAAGAAGAGAGTACGCAGCATCCTAATGGTGGGGGGACAAGGTTCACAATTTCCAAGGTAAAAGAGACACATTTGGTAATGGAGAAGGATGAAAAGGGGTGACTTTTCCTTACCTCTAACAAAACGTCACTTCCAGTCAGGCTGTGTTGTTTTATAAAATAATGTAGTATTTACTGTTAACTTTTTAAGGAACTGAATTTAGTGTAAATGATTCCTGTTGCCTGTAATTGTTATTTTCTGATAAAGCAATGGTGCCAAATTGTAATAAATATGCCCTTAACCTGATAAAAAATGTACTTAAACCCAATAATGTAAAATTAACGTTAGGGTTCATAATGACAGTTTTTTTTATTGTATCTTTGGTTCAAAAAAAGTAATGAAGTTAAAAAAAAAGAAAAGAAATGTCCTATTCCTGCCCATTTCTGTTGTTCCGCTCCTGTCCTGTTGGCGGCAGTAGTTTAGTTCCAAGTTTATCAAGAGTGTGAGGTAAAAGGTAAAAAAAAAAAGCTTAAACTACAAATGTAAAAGAAAAAGCAAAAACAAAGAACTATCTAATGTTCCTTTGAGCATTTTTGATTTGTAAGGCATGGAGCCATTGTATACATTTAAAATAAAAAAGTTTTAATTCCAAAAATGAATTATATTATTGGGATTTATTAAATTTATCACACTTAAACATTTCAAGTGCAATTTCTATAACAATTTTCAGGCATTATAACTTTTACATTTCATAAACTGTATAACAAAACGATTTTGTTCTACACAAACTAAGGCTGTAGTGCAAATATGTTTATACTTTATCTTGTAAACCATGCAGTCTATGCATTAGCCACACTCAGTGAGCTGCTGTACGCATCAGGTAAAACATTACTCCCATTTTTAAAATGGCAAATCAAAGTTTCATTTATTAACAGGCCTACAGTTTCTTTAGCCAGATCTTTTAAAAACAGAACTTATGTGTTTAAACATTGTGAGGCCTACAGAATGCACAGATTATTTCAAATCACAGTACAGGGCTTTGTGAAAAACACTGCCGATAAGCAGCTTTCCCTCAAAGCGAGCTGCCACACTGGAGGCCATGATCACTTTGCCATTATCAGCGTACTCTTGGCTCACCACTGGCTGCTCCGAGTGAATGCTCTTGATCAGGATAACCTGGCGGAACATTAAAATATAACACACATGTTTAACTGTTCACATACACTATTTTTAAAAAAGAAAAAGAAAAATGAATACACAAACCTCTGAGCCAGGGGGATCTTTAGGGTTATAGTTGAAAAGCTTCATGCCATTTGGATGACAACCCAGCCATAGGTCACCTGTCCGGTGGTCCACCTCGATGTTATCACAAAGTGACCCCAAATCTACAGACTGGTGAGAAGGGTTACAGCAAATTAGACTACAGAATGTCAATTGCTTTTTTAATATTTAGTTGTAGAAAAGCACAGTAAAAATAATGTTAAAAGTGCTTTGCCTTTATGGGAAATATGCTTTGCCTTTTTGCCTTCTTGCCAAGGTTGATCAAAAGGGCCATCTCTCGCTCTCTCTCTCCCTCTCTCATTTGTCAATACACTAAACATAAAGTTGTAGCCAGCAAGAGTTAGCTTAGCATTTAAACCTGAAAAAGGCACAATGCTAGCCTGGCTGTTAAATGTTGTTTTGTTTGTATAATGTGTACATATCTACTTAAAGTAGATCTAAAGCTAAATCTGGTATCAAGTTTGCTTTGCTTAAACCTGTAACAGGGGAAATACTAGCCTGGCTCTGCCCAAATGTGACATTATCTACTAACAGAATACCTCATTGTTCAGTAATTATTATTACTTATTGCTTGTTTAATATGTACATATACTTAAATATTACAATTTTCAGATTTACAAAGGGTTTTTCCATTTTTAAGGTAAGTGAAGCTAACGGGCTGCTAGCTGTAGCATCATATTTTCCTGTTATATAGGCTATATATATATATAAAACCAAAAAGGATGTCTTAAAATATCAAACCAATTGGTTTCTTTTATACAAAGTAAGACAATACTGCATTACCTTAACAAACACTAGTTGTTCCCCTTCTTTCCTCTCAAAAACTTGTACGTCATGGCCTATACTATCAGCAACATAAATATACCTGTAAAATAGAGATGTATTAGTTTAGTGTTTTATTGGAAAGGTCTGGAAATACATCCAGTTTTAATAAAAAGTCATGCAGTGTTTTAAATAAAGTGGGATTCACCGTTTGTCCGGAGAAATGTTGATGCCATTTGCACTCAGGAAGCCGCTAGCCGCCATCCTCACTTCATTGGGACTGTAGTAGACCACCTCACACCAGCGGAGACCCAGGAGGACAGTCAGGTGAAGTGCATCATTTGGAAAGGAGTGATCATTTGTGGCGTAGAAGCTCTCGACTCCAACAGCAACTATGTCATTTACACTGAAAGATATTGAATAAGGTAAAATACGTTAAGTTTGTAAAAAAATGTGTCACACCATTTTATTTGAGTCATACAGTTAGGCCTACATACCTGTGGAGGAGGGGGTGGATGATAGTTTTCAGGTGCACAAGTGTGTTCTCTTCAACAAATTTGAAGATCTCTACTTGGCTTTTGTACTGAGGGTGATTGACCACAAACAGGTAAACAGAGTCATCTGGAAAACAAGCATTTGTGTTTTCATTATTGATCTGAAAATACTGGCTCACCATTGTTTTTAAATGTTACCCGAAGATATCAGTCCTGTTTAATTTGGCAACACAACAGACCAAGTCCCTCAGAATAACCGTTGTCTAGTCTGCATGTTGAGGAGGTAGAATGGTAGATAGCAATCTAATATCAATGACATCCAATGAAAAAACGTATACCCTGTATTCATGAAGATAAGTGTAAGTCTTTTAAAGGGAAAGGAAGACTCCACCACTACCAATAAAGACTACTGTAAAAATGTGATAATAAAAGTAGATATGGGAAATAGTTATTGCAGGGAAAATGCAAGTCATAAACACAAAAACTGCTTGATTGTGGGAAAATCCTAAGTGTTTTTACTTTAAATTATATGAATAGGTTTAATGCATGAATTTTATTTGTAAAAAAAAAAAAAAAACCTTAAGACTCATATACATGCAGATCTCCTCTTTTTACATTTATTTCACTTTGATAGCAGAATGTTTGGTCTACAGTTGTCCCTATTTCCCATTCTACTTCTTGCTCTTTAATTAACTGGCTTAGTCTTTATTTTAAGATTTTATGATGTTCTTCAACAGAAAACGGCAAAACCAGAGAACAACAGTCCATTTAGTATGATGAGCATTACCTGAATTCTCATCAAAATACATCCACTGGAAGAGATCTTTGATGCAAGTAACTTTTTACCTCTTGGGTATTTTCTTTTTTGCGTTTTCTCACTTTTGAGGCAATTTTTACTCCATTCATCAACAGTATAAACTTTAAGATCACAGTTCCTACTGTGGCCTTTAAAAATGGGTATGAGATATGAGGATATATATGGAAACTATGATCATTAACCATTTTAAGAGCAATGTTTTGAATAAACATATTTTTTACTCAGCGATGATTATTACATCCTTCCTTTTTGTGTTTTCTGCACCTGATTTGTACCTCACCTGCTTCATCAGTGTACACACTGATGCCATGAGGGTTAAAAGAGCTGAGGTCAAGCTCTCCTTTGATTTGGAGCTCCACTGGTTTTGGCTTAGGGTGCAGGAGATCCAAAATGTACAATTTCCCGGGTTCATCAGAGAAAGAAGGCCCTCCAGGATAATGTAACCCCTGAGTGGAAACATAGGATGTGAGCTGATGGGAAAGAGCTGTGATTTACCTCGAGGAGGTTGTTACACAAACATGACTACCTGAATTATGTCAACTAAAGTCATTGATAGTCACAAATTATTTCAAAGTACTGATCTGTTTGCAACAATATGTTGAGAAAGAAAACAGCGAAATAATTATTTACAACTATATATGTTAATAACATACTGTGCTTATAAAGGCCAGTCCATCTCTTAGTATTGTGATATCCTCTGCCCCATATTCTGTACAAAGCAAAGCAAACGTTATTATACTTCAAACGTCTTTAATTTTACTACTCAAGCTTACATCATTGCCCACACTTGACCACTGTCTGCTAACAGGACTTTAGACTTGTGTTGTATGATCACATTTGACACATAAGTACGGTTAAATAAATCCAAAAACATGTTTAAATCACATGACATTTGTTGACAAAAAAAATCTCAAAATTAAGACACTGACATGAAAATATAGTAGACAGAATTGCCTACCTATATTCTTTAAGGATTGACAGTTGAGGTGTTTCACAGACACTTCTCTGTAAGCAAGGCTGAACTCCCTGCAGAGAAAATCCAATATAACAAAGCCTTTTTGGTAAACAAAACCAGAACCTGCAAGCACTGTAACATAAAACTGTACTATTAGCAGAGCTTAGGTATACATACATCCAGAGTCCTCAATTCCTTCATACACATAATGTAGTAAGCAACAGCTGACACAATTCAAAATAAGTACAGGTTATCAACTTGTATTCCTCCATATGTCTCGAATTTACTTTAAAAATTACCTACATTAATTTAAGGTATTGATGTCCAATAAAAGCTGCAAAAGCAGCGACAAGAGCAGCAATTAGTGCTTTCCTCATGGCAGCCATTAGAAGTCAAAGGTCAGTTTATACAGGGGTTATACGAGAACTCTTCCTGATTGCATTCACATAGGTTCACTGTAGATGGAGCCAAAGTGCCAAACCTATGTCAGTATATTTGTTCATGCAGAGTTTACAAAACCCAGATGGAATAGTCCAAATTGGCATTGAAATTATTCCAGTTGCAAAACGTCTCCGCCCACAGCAGATATGGACCATGGGGTCAAGTCAGTAGGCATTGCACTCACCGAGTCAAACCACACCTTGGAAAAAAACAAACACATTAAAAGCAAGGAGGCTTAAAGGAATATTAAACAGTTAGGGTGTCAGTTGTGTTGTATGAATACTGTTTGTACTGAGAGGAGTGGAGAAGTTGAAGAAAAGTAGGCAAAGGGATGGACAGACTTGAATTTCTTGAAGACAAGAAACAAAAGATGGTATATCTTGATCTACTGTTACAACAGCAGGTACTGGGACACAGCTTCTCATAAACACTTTTGACAGTTTAGATTTGTATGGGAGGATTATGTTGTATTTCATTTGTCTGAAGGCACACCACAACCATTTTCAAGTGCATATACAGAATGTTGAAGAACAAGACAAACTACAACCATGATGGCACCTTTCACTGTTTTATTCAAATCAAATATGAGAAATAATTATTGTATTAAAAAAAAAAAAAAAATTAAGAAATAAGTCACTTCCAAACAGTGCATATTTTATATATATATGTATATATTATATCACGTTACAAGGTGAGCAAAGAAAAATTGATTCAAGCTGATTTTGAAGGTCTTACATGTTTGATTTTGGAAAGAAGTATAAAGGCCTGATATTATTAAACTGACTGCAAACACATACAGCAACCCATTTATAAAAAAAAATACAATTCCATGAAGAGGGTGTCAAGACAAATTCAGATTAGATATCTGGCAGTCCTATATAACTGTCCTCAAACACCCCACCCTCACTCTCCTCACATACAACCCGGTTAAATCAGAAACAAATTGACCAATTTGACATTCAATTTAACTGCGCCCCATCAACATCTTTTTCTAATCCTTTGTTTTTCCCCCGTTATCAAGTTGTTTTACAAAGAATTATTACAATGGAAACAATTGTGTAATACTCTTTGTGTTCTGACTTAATGATCAGAACACGAGATATTTTTTGACGTTTCTTTATATCAGCAATAATACAACGTTTCCCCTACTTTCAACTGCAAGTTTAACTTTAAAAATCCCAATAATAGAAAGAAAATATTGTTTAACACAGTGGTCCCCAGCAGGCCCCCCTTTGGCAGATGAAAATATTTTCAAGTCCCCCACCCATACACATTTATACACCTCATACTAAACACATTGTCAGTCACGCACTTTGTGAACATATTCCTATAATTATCTCAGATATTGGCAGCAAAAAGTACAGAATAGCTACTTCAGTTAAGGCCAACAAACTGAAAAAAGTAACAAGTCACTCTTAAAGAGGAAGCAACTAAAAGTGATGCTACAACATTAAACAATCAAATTAGTGACGTCTGTTGTAGATGTATTTTCTGCCTTATATTAAGGTGGAAGTCCTCTCAAAGTTTGCCATGCTTTGCTAGCAGTAAAAAACGGTACACAAACAGCAGTTCGGGTATCTGCAGGTCAGTAACTTGAGTACTTTAAACACTGCACCAGGGGCCATTTCAATTATCCAGTTTAACACCACACCATCTATCTGTCTCCAGCTCCTCTTAGTCGATTTTTAGGCTCTTGCATCAGAGATTTTCTCAACCTTTGATCAGATTAAGTCTGGTAGAAGAATTTGTGCTGTTGCATCAATGCATGTCATCATTTCACATCATCATTGCAATAACTGACTGGAAGACTTGTGGAAAGGCAGATGTAGATCTCCTCTTCTGTCGTTGAATTTTGAGGATTTTTATAAAACTCTTCAGTGCCTAATTCAGATCACAGCACAAGCCTTTATGGAAAACAGTGCCGATGAGCAACTTTCCCCCGTAGGTAGCAGCTACAGAGGAGCCAATGAGCACATGGCCGTCATCAGCGTACACCTGAGTCACCACTGGCTGGTCAGAATGAATGTTCTGGATGCGGATGACCTATGATAACACATTTCACAGAGATATAAAAGCATGAAAAGACAGATCAGGAAAAAACAGACAATATTCAGTGTGTTCTTGACAAACCTCTGATCCAGCTGGGTCGTTAGGGTCAAACATGAAAGCTTTCAATCCATTTGGGTGACAGCCCAACCACAGGTCCCCAGTTTCAGGGTCGAGTTCAATGTTGTCAACCAGTGACCCAACATCCACAGACTGGTGAGGTGTCACAAACAAGGTTATTATCATAGTTATCATAGTGTCTAGCCCTTAAAAGATAGCATGAACTATTTGGAGCAATAAATTTACCTTTATAGAGACCAATGAATTGTCTTCTTTCCGTTCAAGCACATGCACATTATGGTCAAAGAGATCTGCTACATATATATGGCTGTGAATGCAAGAGAATATAAAAAAAAAAAAAAGGATGTTATTTAAAACATAATAAAGGCGTAAATGAACATACAGTATGCCAACTTCTGCACATCATTCTTACCTTTTGTCTGGTGAAATATTGATGCCATTTGCAAAGTAATATCCCTCTGAGACCACCTTCACATCTTCAGGGCTGTAGTACACAACATTTGACCAAGGCTGGGCCAGGAAAGGCTCCACTAGACCTTTTATGAATGGATTTGTGAAGTAGTGATCGTTGGTTGCATAGAAGGATTCAACTCCTACCGCAACAATGTCATTTACACTGGAAAGAAAAAACAAAAATCTGACATTATTCATACAGTTTTTACGATACAAAATGCATATTGTTTTAACTTTATCAAAACACAAGCTAGTTGCACAAATTTTCACTTTATTATATTTTTTCCTTTTTTGCTTAGATGGGTATAAACTTAAATGACATGAAAGTTTTCTGCTACTTTGCCACAAGCACAAACCTAGGGATTCTGGAAAATAGTTGTAATTCATTTCACCGCTTCTTAATTGATCAGCAACTGGAGAGACGACTGCAACACTACGGCTAATTTTAGCATTCAACCACTTCCTAGCTAACATTACGATTTGATTGTAATATGGGTTAAAAGGAAAGGGCATACATTCCTAGCTAAAAAAAAAAAAACATTAACTACTAAATTTAGTACACTAAGTTACTAACTAGTTAAGCTAGCACCTTTGAGCTAACTGTGTTGTTTAATTGTGAAAAACCACACAAAGAAAAGCACAAATTCCTAGCTTGAATTACCATCAACCAATCACAGTTTCAGCTTGCTAACTAGGTAGGCTATTTTAACAATGTAGCAGCCAAAAAGCTATGAGAGGAAAGAGAGTAACTTATCAGCTAGCTTTAAAGGTCTAACAATTTTACTGGTTGAAGATAATACTATCTGACTGTTTAGTGGTTGAAAGCTTTTGCTATTGTCAAGTGGTAGCTAATGGTCAATCCAAAAAATACTTCAGTGATAATTCTGCATTTCTATGATCTGCATCAGCAGCAGTGCAACATCATATTAGCGTTTCAGCTTCCTACAGTGAGTTGACATCAGAGGAAAATGCCCAACCAACCGCGAAGCGAATATGGTCAATAAAAATAGACAGACTGAATTTTTCATTGAGAAATACTTTACCTGTGGAGAAGTTCATGTTTGATGGTTTTCAGATGCACCAGCGAGAAGTCATCCTCAACAAATTTGAACAGTTCAACCTGGCTTTTGTGTTCAGGATGACTGACAACAAAGAGGTTTACTGTGTCATCTGAAAAGAAAAGAAAATGATTGAAAAAAAAGAGGAAAAAAAGGGTCAGAATATGTGCTTCTAGATAGTCCTCAATGAAAGAGGTACATACATTAATGGTAACGTACTTTCTGAAGTTACTGGTTTCAAACAGGAAACGGACTTATTGTGTATAAATTAAGTCCATGCCCTGGGTAGTGTAACAGACTTTTCTAGTCCCATGGTGCCCAAAAGGTATCTACTTGGATTATCAAAGCAGGTTTGTCTGCATACTCTGCAACACTCAAAGGTGTGTGAGTGTGTGTGTTCACAAACACCGAAATATAAAACCTTTCATAGGAAGCTGAGGTGATGATATTATTCTATACTTTAGCACAATGTACCTAAATGTGTGCTATGTATGAGTCTTTGTATAAATATAAATATGGATACATCTGAATCATATTGAAAAGCATTAGAAAGCGTTTGGATATGGTTTATTATACCCTTTAGGTGCTATATTGTAGAAACTTAAGTGTAACATGTGTTAACACATAACTAGATTTTTTTTTACCACTTGGATCGATGTATACACTGATGCCATGAGGGTTAAAAGACTCCAGATCAAAGTTTCTTGGCATGCGCAGCTCCACTGGCTTCAACCGGGAATCATTCATGTCAAGAACAAAGATCCTCCCGGGCCCATCTGAGGTTGGCATGCCAGGATACTGCAGGCCCTTAAGATATCCAAAAATATATTCAGTCATTAAACAATAAAAACAAACACTGCACATTAAATCATGACACAATTGTAACGGTTAACGTAAGAATCCCCTTTGATCAGGGAAAACGGATAGGCTCTTACGCCATATTTAGTAGCATAACCTTTGTACGGGAACAGTGAAGACGAAGCAGATAAACCAGTTCATGTGTTAATTGAAGAATAATGTGTGTGCTTTTGTTGGCCTTCTGAAGCTTTTTGCAGGGAATAAAATAAAATACTAATTTAATTTTTGTCAAGCATTTCCAAAAAAAAAAAAAAGATTTGGTACCAGAACAAGGATTTGTGTGACTAAGTATTTTACAAAAACAAAGTTTTGACTTCAATTTCTGAATGCATAAACACATTAATATAAATATACACAGGTCAACATACACATTTAACTTCATATACATATAGGGTCTAGGCCTACATCTAGAAATATACATAAGCCACTAATGATCTACATGAAGTGAGCAGTCAAAAGGATACACTTGATTGTATCA